CTCTCCATGAACATTGGTTTTCAGTGCTACGAACCTCCACTGGTGTATTATTGGTGCAATGCTGCTCTCTGGACATGGTGTGACTATCTGGCTTTCAATGTGATGGTGTGATCCGGAATTGTCATCTCGATGTTGCTTATTTTCCTTGCAATTATTGATCCAAACATGTCAAACTGCACACATGACGTTCCCTAAAGTACATATATATCACACAAAAAGAAAAACAAGAAAAAAAGCAAAAAATCAGCACAATATGACAGTTTCAGTGCAATTCCGTGCAAAATTCGTCGAAAATAACACCCCCGGTTAACCGCATGTGTAAATACTAAATAACTATAATTAAATTATTTGCTTTTTGGAGATCAAATTTGGAGGTCTTAGGAGATCCTCAGATCCCGCGTCAAATAGAGAGATCCCTTTCCTGTTCAGGCTGGAGTTCGCAAGGTGGGAAAGAGGCGAGGGTCTGTTACTTGGGGGCCCGCGTGACTGTGGAGTTTAGGGACCAAAATGAAGCCAATGTGCGTACGCTCTCGAGCAACACTGAAGTATTTTCAAGGAAGTTGGCTGAAGTTGGCAAAGGGCATACTCACACTAGGACTTTCCTGCATATATCTGACTGTAATGACGGTGAAATTCATTCCAAACAATGGTTGTGTATGCGACACCCGAAGGAAGCCTGACCTTCCTCGGGGGAGACTGCCATCTTGCGTGAATCTAGACTCCAATGGTGGTTTCACTATCTTCACACTAGGACTTTCCTGGATGCATCTGACTGTAATTATGGCCAAACTCATTTCAAGAAATGCTCGTGTGTATCCCACACCCTCAGGAAGCCTGACCTTCCTCAAGGGAGACCACTATTTTGTGTTACTACTCCCTTGTAAAAAGCACAATCTTTGATCCTTTTCGTTTTGAAGGGTGTTAATCCGCAAATGTTGTTGTACTGTACTTGTGGCGCACCTGTGCGGTGTGCAGCGTGATGCAGTGTGCGGATTTGTGGTGCACACATGTGCTTGGTGCGGGCACCGGTGCATTTCTTTTCTTTCTTCATTTTCTGTTTGTGTGTGTGTGTGTCTGAGAGAGAGAGAGAGAGAGAGAGAGAGAGAGAGAGAGAGAGAGAGAGAGAGAGAGAGAGGGAGAGAGAAGACTAGCTGACTTTGTGAAAATGTGCAGAATGTCTCATCAGAGAGAATGAATGCTTCAGCAACGACAGCATCAGACTACACAGTTTACGTGGAAGGATTGCCAAGGGAGCCATGGGTGAAGACGGATGACGTTGCGAAATTTTTTGCGCATTATGGAACAGTCGTGAGTGTTGCTATCTCATATAATTGTAAGTCAGTACCAAAATCGTGACCACGTACATATTGTGATGACATGCATATGTAACCACATGGATTTCTTGACCTCGTGCTTACCATAACCACGTGAAGACAAAAAGTGCGAGTGCGGCTAGGTTACTAGAGTGGCCTGAGACCACTTGCCTGGCTGGGCCAGAAAAAAAAAAAAAGAACAAAAAATTATTAAAAAATATTTTCAAAAAGTGTGAGTGCGGCTAGGTTACTAGAGTGGCCTGGGACCACTTGCCTGGCTGGGCCAGAAAAAAAAAAGAGCAAAAAATTATTAAAAAATATTTTCAAATTCATTTGATATTTTTTATTTGGAAAAGAATTTCGATGCGACCCTGTGGCAAAAGATTCCCAGTTTATTTTTCTGCACAACACAGTTTTTTTTTGCGGATTATATTGTTCTTTTCAGGGTAACCCACGTTCGGGACGGGCCGAACGCCCGAACCCGAACGCCTGAACGTATGGGACCCCTTGGGGATGCGTTCGGTCATTCGGGCTGAACGCGGACCCAAAAAAAAAAAAAAAATCAAAAAAATCTGAAAAAAAGATATGTTATGAAGAAAAATAAATTAAAGTCTGAACTTTTCTCGCTTTTCCTTTCTTAGGAATACGTGCAGTGGCCCTAAGGGCCTTTACTCACCAAATGCACAAAAGACAAAACATATGGTGGCGTATTATTCCACGTTCTGCAGAAGATTCATTCCTTTACTCACCAAATGCACAAAAGACAAAACATATGGTGGCGTATTATTCCACGTTCTGCAGAAGATTCATTCTAATTCTACACATTTCGTGAGTAGTGCAGCCAAGCCCTAAGGTTCACGTGCAGAGACCAACAGGGCCTAGCCACGTGAGCAACCCATAACTGCTGAAATACAGACCTGAATTCGAATCTTGAGTATATATTCGGCCAGCTCGTGCTCTATTTTATATTCACTGCCTGCCTCGATTCTGGGGGGGGGGTCTGCGCTACATGTCTGCAAGGACCCTTCAGACAGCCTGGGCCGTCTGAGTCGTGTTAAGGGGATCCGTTCTCTCTCTCTCTCTCTCTCTCTCTCTCTCTCTCTCTCTCTCTCTCTCTCT